ATCTGGAAGGCTGAGGTGGAAGGATCATCTGAGCCCAGCAGGTCAAGGCTGTGGTGGCCATGACTGTGCCACTGCACTCCAGCCTGGGTGATATAGTGAGACTCTGACTCAAAAAAAAAAGTTACCAAGTGCCTCTTATGTGCCAGATGCTGTACTAAGCACTGAGGATAAAAGGACTAAGAGCCTTGCCCTGATGGGTTTAGAATTCTGCTGAGGGAAAATAGATACTAACAAGATAAATATGTAAAATATATACTGTATATCATTCCTCCTACAATGCACATTTTGTTTTTCTTTTTACAATGCATATTTTTTTCCCATGTGATGAAACCTGAATTTCAGATGAGTCTTTCGGTAGATGGCACCTTACCACTGGCAGGGTTTTATTTTTTTTCTCTACAGTACACTTAATGACCTAGTAGAGCCCATGAAATATGGGAACATAGTGTGTATAGGAGAAGAATCTATCAGACTGGTAAGTGCTGGAGAAATATAAGCAGAGCAGAGGGAAGAGGAGTATTCGAAGGCTGCAGTTTAGAACAGTAGGAAAGACCTAAGTAACGTTTGAGCAGACTTAAAGAAGTGAGCCATACCTCTATGTAGACAGAGTAGCAAGCCTCCCATACACAGGGAAATAACTTGTAAACAGAGGAAGTCAGCCAGTGTGGTTGGAGTGCAGTGAATGAGAGGGAATGTAGTATGGAAAATAAGGTCAGGGAGATAATGGAGGGACCAAATTATGTATGAACTTGTGGGTCTCTTTTCTACTTCATTTTTTTTTTAAGTTGAGGTCTCACTATGTCCTGCAGGTTGGAGTGCAGTGGCACAATCATGGTTCACCACAGGCTCAAACTCGTGGGGTCAAGCGATCTTCCCGCCTCAACTGCCCAAATATTTGGGACTACAGGCATGTGTCACCACGCCTGGCTAATTTTAAAACATTTTTGTAGAGACAAGGTTCCGCTATATTGTCCAGGCTGGTCTTAGACTCTTGGGCTCAAGAAATCCTCCTACCTTGATTATGGGCATGCTACTGCACCTAGCCATCCACTTTGTACATGATCATTGACTTAAGTCTAAAAAGGTAGGATAACGTATTATATATGAGCACAGGCTTTGGAGTCAGATTGCCAATTTATGTTCCAGCTCTGCTACTCCCTAGCTTGACCTTGGTCAAGTTATTCTCTTGACCTGTTTCCCCATCTACAAAACAGGGAACCCACATCATAAGGATGTTGTGAGGATTCAGTAAGTTTTTGGTTTTTTTTTTGAGTTGGAGTCTCACTCCCTCGCCCAGGCTGGAGGGCAATGCCACACTCACCACCACCCCAGCGTCGACCTGCTGGGCTCCGGCGATCCTTCTGCCTCAGGCTTAAAAGTAGCCAGAACTACAGGCGCATGCTACCATATGCCTGGGTGATTTTTGATTTATTGTAGAGACGAGGTCTTGCCAAGTTGCCCGGGCTGGTCTTGAGCCCACAAGCTCATGCAATCCACTAGCCCAGGCTCCCAAAGTGCTGGGATTACAGGCTGAGCCACCGAGCCCAGTCAGTAAACTAATTTTTATGTGAAGTACTTTGAACAGAGCCTGGCAAAAAGCATTATGCATTTGATACTGTTATTATTGGTGAGTCATGAATTTTGACTGCCACTTCCTCATTATCGATTTATTTTGCTGTATGTTGTTTGGTTAATGGAGAGTAATGCATAATTATATCAACAATGTTTTTGAACACATTTTTCAGTGATGAGTCTTTAAAAACTGGTATATGATGTATTTCAAACACAAATGATCTTTTCTACTTATCCTACTAAGCAGCGTATAGACCATGCCCCACCCCACCACCAACCCAACCAAAAAACAATCTCATGCTATCGTATTTCATTGTTCTTGCTGAGTTTTCCACTATAAAGTAAGAAAGGATAGGAAAAGTGGACCACTGACAAAATATGTATATAAAAATATATATTTCAACCCAATGAATTGTTATTTGTTCCACCATCAGGTTTAGTTTTGAAAAAGAAAAAATCTTTCTTATTTACTCAAAATTTTGGATTATGCGTATTTTAATGGTTCATGGTATGCTTAGATTTATGAAAGTGAGAAGTATAATAGTATAAGTCAGGCATTTTTCCCCATATTTCCTCTTCCTTTAACAAATAGTTCTGAGCATTATCTACCATGTTATAAAAAATATGCAAGATTAAAGGCTGCAAACAGAATACCACATGACTTTTCTCTACAAAATTAGTGTAAGTGGATTAATAAGTAACTCTCTTCCTCTGAAATAAGGAGTCCATTACACAGTTGTTTCACAGTGACAATGCTTCTGTTCTCCCTTTAGACCATAAGTGAGGGACAAATTAATCACTGCATTTTCTCTGCCTTCTCTTGAGGCTGGAGGTAGGGGACAACTCCTTCTGTTCTCAGACACCAGAAGAGAGGTAAGATTTTGAGGCCAGGGAATTTGGGGGACTTCGCCCTCATCAACCTCTACACCTAACTGTCCATCCCTCCTGCCCACAGTTCTTCCTGCCCAGGTGATGCTGTTAGGAAGGAAACAGGTCAAGTGAAGGCAACACTCATAGTAAGCTGTTACTACTATACTCACTAAAGTATAGTAACTTACCATATTCACCAAAGTTTAAAACGAAACAGGACGCTTGAAGAGGCTGATGCCCTGAAACAACTTTGTTAAAATGTCAAAGCACTCTTCTTACCAACAAGGAGACCTGGTAGACAACCGTGAGCCTATTCCACCTCTGAGCCTCATGCTTTATGATGGGTAGAGTGGGAATCAGGGAGGGCTGAGGTGAGGAGGTGTGAGGCTTAAAGATTGGGTGAAGTTCTTTTCATGCAATTTTGCTAAGCATTTATTGGTTACTTTTTTTAGGCTGCAACAAAATGCCCCCATGGAAAACGTCTGAAGTAAAATGTCAAGTGTCTAGTTTTAAAGCAGAGGACAATGCTTAGTGCACAGTATTTTTGGCAGTGTGACCCCACCACTCTCCATGTCACCCAGGCTTAAAACCTTGGCACTAGAAAATGAACTTTCACCTCACCGTAGCCGGTATTACGTGTTCTCTACAATTCCACTTTACAGATGAAAAAAGAATCCTCCTCCTCAGCAAAATATTAATATATTCCTCAGTGATTTATTCATTTATCCATCAATATCACCTTTTATGAGACAACAGTAAGCACCAGAGAAATAAAAATGAATAACATAGTCTTTCCCTTGACAGTTTGATTTAACAAGCATTTATTGAGTGACCACCATATACATATTAATAAATGCAATGTGCTAGCATCTGGATTTCTGGGAAAGCTTTCAGGAGATGATGCCAGAGCTCAGTCTTAAGGAATTAGCAGGAGTTTGATTGATAAAGAGGAGGGAGGGTTAGGGTATGAGAAAAATGCCTAACACCTAGAGTATGTGGGGGAGGCAGAAGCTGGAAAGATAAGCAAAAGCCAGATCACAACAGGCCAGCATAACAAACCAGAGCTTTGTAGAGAGAATGGGGAGTCACTGGCAGATTTGAAGGAGAGGACTGATATGAAGATGTTCTGTTGTTAGGCTCACTCATGGGTGGACTGAAGAGGATTGGGGGTAAGCAAGGACTGAATGCAGACAAACTCGTTAGGAGTCTATTGCTGTAATCTCGGTGACAAATGATGAGAAGAACATAAGCCATGTCACAGGCAGAAAGGGTGGAGAGCAGAGGACCAATTTGAGAAATGCTCTACGAACAGAAATGATGAGACTTGACTATTGATTTGACATGCGGAGGCGGAAAGCCAGTCTCTAAACAATTTTTTCCCCCAGCTTCCTCCTTCTGACTTAGGCAATTATCTGGATAGTGGTACTATTGAGCATGGCAGGGCACACAGCAGAAGAAACATAACGACTTTTTTTCTTTAAGGGAGGCAAGGGAAGATGATGAGTTCAATTTTAAATGCTGAATCTGAGACCTGTGGGAAATTCAAGTGGAGAGGTGAATGAGTCAGTGAGCTAACCAGACACCAGAGCTTTTTAGGCTCATGAAATTTGCAAGACTATTCCAGAAGCATGCGTACCTGGCAACCTCGTTTCGAAAGGAAGAGGCATACCAATTTGAAAAAGGTACTGTTTTGATGTTAAAAAATGAAAATGCAGAGGTTGAGAGTTAGAATGTTATATTACTCCCTGTCAAATTGACACTGCAGAACAATGCATGTCTCTAGCAAGCTAGATGCAAGGTTCAATGGGTCTCCTCCTTAAGACACTTGAAAACAGAGGCGCACCTGGTGTTTAATCTAGGAATTCCTCCTAGCAGATCTGAAGAGCAGCAGCTGAGACACGCGCCCTCCAGCGGCAGTGGAACGAGGGGGTCACTAACAAACAAAGCCCTGTGCAGAAATGCGATTTACAGGGGATCAAAAAGCCAAGAGCTCGTCCAGCTACGCCGCAAAGCCAAACGAACCCGCCCAGAGGCTGGGACCCCTTACCTGTCACGTCGGCCGAAGGGAAATTTCACTTTCGACTCAACAAAATAAGAACAGCGATTTGAGAGCTGGCAGTGAGTCCCACTCGGTGACAATTAAATACCCTGCAAGCCAAAGCGCCTAGCTGAATCAGATCCTCTCCAGCCTCCGGGGACGGGCTTCGACCACGTGGGCGGCTGCGACCAGCGGCCACCCTCCGAGAGTGCAGGAGTGGGCGGGGTGTCGGTGTGGCGGGGGCGGGGCCTGCGCGGGGGGCCAGCGCGGGGCACTGAGAGAGGGCGGTGCCTGCGCGCGGGGCGGGATCTGCGCGGGGGCGTGGCTAGGGCGACCCCGGCTCCCGGCTCCTCTAGCCTCCTCTCGCCTTTCGCCTTCGCCCTTCGAGCCGCCACGTCATGCCACGTCCCCGCGCATGCGCAGCGCGGCCGCTGCCGTCGGCTGTTTCCGGGCTCCCGGGCTGGGGTGGCCGCCGAGGA